CCCCCCCCCCCCGCCCACCGTCACCCCCCTCAGGGCATGGCACCATACGCACACAGCAAACCCACAACTCTTTGATGAGTTCAGACAGCCTATACCACCAGGTGCCCCCCCCCCCCCCTACCTTCTATCACACTGCTTCCCTCCCCCCTCTCCCTCCCCCTGTCCCTCCCTTTGGGCCCGTGAGATGCTTCAGGGGCCACTGATGACTCAGAATATTCCATGGGCAAGTTATCAGCACAGTAACTTTACACACACGCACACACACACACACACGCACACACACACACGCACACATGCGTCATGTGCAGCCACTGAAACACAACCCACTTGAATTTGAGAAAAGTTTCCCATCCAGAGATAAACACCCGGTCCTCTGTCACAGCGCGTTGCATACAAACACGTAAACAGCTGAGTGTTTGTTTTTACAGAGAAGAGGGAACATACATTCATTTATTTTCGCTGCACTTATTAGAATGTTAAAGTTTTCTGAAATTCTGAACGCCGGGGATTAATTGGTGACGTCTTCCGGGGTCTTCTTGTCTCCTCCGTTCCCCTAAACGTTCACGTCACTGCCGGTGCAAATGGAGCAAAAGTGACCATCCCACAGTAATCGCGAGGCCTCCTCTCCCCCAGCAGAGCTCCCGCCTTCATCGCCATTCATGAAATGCAGCCCTTTCCCAGGAAATGTGGAGAAATGCAAATGTTTAAGGGGTGGGCGGGCGGGCGGGGGGGGGCAGTGTCGGTCTGCAGGGAGACCATTGCGCCCCCGCTCAGGTTGGCCATGACTCTTATTTACTGTGGCAGAGATCCGTGTCGAATCATACAGAGGAGCACATGAGCGGGCAGCAAATGTTCTTTCCTTCCCTTCCCTCCCTCTCTCCCTCTCTCTCTCCCCCTCTCTCTTACGCGTATATAACATGACAAAGAGCGGGCTGATGCTGGGAAATTGAGTTCCGCGTGAAAGTAACAAGGGCGCACAGGATACTCCGACATTAGAGAGAATCAATTACCGTTGAATCAAAAAGGGAGAACCTGCACGTGTGTGGCGTCTCCACACAAATATTATACAGCAGGAATGATGTTAGCGAAGGTGAGATTCTCCTTGTGTCAGGATTACGAATCACAGACTGTGGCTGCCATGTACCTGCAACATAATGAATTTAGCAAAATGAATCACGTTGGTGGAGAAACTCTGAGGAAAAAAGCAACCTTGGAGATGAACTTTGCAAAGTAATGAGTGCACAAGAGGCAGTGGAGGATTATCTTCTCTCCATATCTGGCTGAAGACTTATTCAATGAGTTTTAATACCAGTTGAGACACGCAATAACGTGGAAAAAAAAAATAATCTTCAGTGTGGGTGTCCTGCTGGTGCAGCAGTCCTGATTGCATTGCAGTCATTGGTGCTGGCTGCATGTGTATGATGTGCAGCCACCAGGAATGTGCCCGAGTGATACGACAAATGTGTCTTTTACTGCAAGATAAACTGCACACATACCCCCCCACCACCACCAAGACGAAAAAAAACCTGCAGTGACACAAAAAGGACTTTATCTCCAAAGACACACTGCGTGTCCGCCCACTCTCCATATACAGCGGCCAAGAGAGGAGGAGGTGGCACTGCAAAGAATACAGACGTGGGGTGAGATGGAGTATATATAGCTATAACCAGAGAGTACAGTAAATGGTAAATTCAAAGAGCTTCCTCTCCACTACAGCAGTGGATGGGATTATAGAGTTGAGCTGACAGCCAGTAAATTGGATTTTAGTCAAACCAGGGGAAGGAGGGGGCTCCGAACACAAATTGGAGGGGTACAACACTGACAACATATACCAAAAAAATGAGAAATGTGCCATTTTCGCGATAGACACAGATACCGGTGCGCTGTCACAGCAGAATCCTATTTGTGGGGAAAAAGGTGATTTCATAAAAAACACACAGGCGGGAGGAGAGCGAGCGAGGTCCCTTGTTTCACTCCGGCGTTAGTGGTGAGGGGTAATAGTCCTCCCGTGAATCGCTGAGTGCAAGTAATAAAAAAACCAGCTT